AATAAATGGCTTACTTCAGGTTTAGATTTTTCGAAATCATCGAAACTTGATCCAGTGAGGTGAGGTGAAATTGGTTTAACGTCGTGCTTGAGAATATTTCGCTCATATGACGACGTGCATGTGTATGTGCGGCTGCTTGTACTAGCCCAGCCTGAAGCTGGTTTTATAGCGCTAGCCCACTGATGCCACAGTGAAGCATGAATACCCCACTCAGACACATTGTACTGACTCCGAGTCGACCAGTCTTTGTTGTACCCATTAATGCCGAGCGCCAGGCAGGGACCAACAAGTACCATATTTTAACGTCTTTTGGTATGACGCGGTCGGGGATCGAACCGGCGACCTTCCGCTCTCCGGGCGGACGCTCTAACCACTACACCGCGTAGGCGGTCTCTTGATCCAGTGAAAACTTTGAGTAGTAATGTAGAAAACTAATGAAATCACCCCTCGTTAATGACGCAAAAACGCTCTAATTACATGTATTCCCGCCATTAAACGGCCATTCGTCACCACTTGTCCCTTTCCGTAACCGGGATGGCACGAATGGTGGGGTGTTTGCTTTGCAGCGTTGTTCCGCTTATTCAAGCCCGAATCTTCTGGTCAGGGTTCGGTTCCAGATTTACCTAGATAGTTATGCCTCTTTCGCAAGGTTGACATTTATCAATAACGCCGCTGTTTACAGTGTAAGTTTCCGTTATTTCCAGACACACATTGGCCACTCCTTAATGCAGAATTCTGTTAAAGCGGAAATATCCCTTGGAGCGGAACGAGTCATCTCTGTTACTAGAAACAACATCAAAGCCAAACTAAACATCTTTCATCCAAACTAAACCTTGTGGGCAATTATGCATATTCCAATTCTCTTTGTGCAGTATGAGATCATATATTTGTTCTAACAAGCAAGCAGATATCAAAGACACACATCTCTGCAAGTATTGTACTTGTAGCAAGGGGCTATATAAATACAAGATTTACACCAACATTTCAGGAAATAGTTTATTGACTGCATTTCAACAAACAAACGAAAAACATGGAACTACTTGGTGGATCCTAACTATGTTAACCATGAATTGTTCCCTAAAGGGAATTTTGGCAACTGAAATATTTCAACAGGATCAAGATGGAGCCAGTTTACTACAGATAGAATTCCTGAGATGTGTTTGAATTTTGAAACTGAACCAATTGCATCCATCAATCAGAAATCAAAATCAATCTTATCATTAATGCTTAGTGTTATAGTATGACCAGAAATTATTGAGAATTTTAGGAATATGTTTAATTGGACATCTTGTATAAACAACCTTGACCAGCTATCAAGGGCTTGGTTTCATTCAAGAGAGACAACTCCGTTAATCCTTTTTCATTAGTTTGTGAAGAGTTATCCCCCTTTGTTTACTTGCCAGCAGACGACATTTTAGAACTGAGACAATTAGAACTGAGCTGCATGCAATGGGTTGGCAGAGGACTTCGATCACCGATCATGAAACCTGAACAAAAGGAGCGAAAGTTGAACTGGTGCTTACAGCATAGAAATTTTAACTGGGACAATGTGATTTTCTCAGATGAAAGTTCTGTGTGGCTATTTCCTAATACACTGAAATTCTGGACCAAACAAACTGAAAACCCTTTGTATCAGCCCCTAAAGTACAGTCCGAAATTTAACGTGTGGGGTGGCATAGTTGTGTTAGGGCAACGCCCCTCTGTGTATTTGAAGGGAATATGAACAGTGAGCGGTACACAAATATTCTCGGACATTTACTTCCATCTGCTCACGTGTTCTATGGAAATTGTTTGATTTTCCAGCAGGGCAACGACCCAAAACATCGTTCAAAGCATTCACAGGCCTGGTTTCGGACCCAAAATATGACATTATTAAATTGGCCAAGATATAATCCCTGACCTAAATCCAATTGAAAATGTTTGGGGACTTATGAGGGAAAGTGTCAATAAGAAAAATCTGACAAATATTGCAGAAATGAAAGAAGAGGTGGTCCGATATTGGGACAGCATGGACGACGTCTTTCTAACTTCTTTGATCAGTTGTATACCGCGCCGCATTGAAGCCTGCATTGCTGCCCATGGTGACTTGACAATATACTAACTGTTCACCTGTCTTTGAATCTAATATTCACATTTAATACGTGATTAATGAGTGAAAAAAATTACAATCTTTAAATTCTCAATAATTTCTGGTTGTACTGTACTATCTATATTCACTTAAAATTGTGTGACGGAAGGAAACCAAAGACGAGGGTTTCCTTTGAACATTCTTACCGCTAAGACAGTCACAACTTCCACAGTTTTCACAGTGACAGTCAATGCACTAACATGGCTAAGTGGCAATGAAGCACTGGCCACTGTTTAAGCGATCTTTGCCCTATAATTATTGTAACTACCATACTTAAACATAAACCTGTACACAACTGTGACGACAGACATACTGTTATGTCTAAACCTAGCTTGAAAAACCACTGTTCAGTGTTAAAGTATGGCGGTTACAGGGTGCTTGGGGGCGTGTGATTTTATTCTAGGGTGAAATCAGTGAGACTGTTCTCAGGACTGCATCATATTTTGCAAACATCATACGCATTTTATGTTATATTCTCTCTCTCTCTCTCTCTCTCTCTCTCACACATACACATACTCTCATTTTATGTTATATTTAATCTCTCTCTCTCTCTCTCTCTCTCTCTCACACACACACATACTCTCATTTTATGTTATATTTAATCTCTCTCTCTCTCTCTCTCTCTCTCTCTCTCTCTCTCTCTCTCTCTCTCTCTCTCTCTCTCTCTCTCTCTCTCTCACACACACACACACACACACACACACACACACACACACACACATACTCTCAAATGACCAGTCCAGATCTTTTGCAAAGGAAATCCTATACTGATTCCCACCAGAAGGGAAATGAATTGGTGAAACAAACCATCACTATTCACAAGGTCTGTGCTAAATAACAAGTGTAAACAAATGGAATAGAGTCCACCAAGTACATTGAAACACACACATCAGTTTCAAACAACTTGCACCAAATAACCTGCAAAAACTGGGATAGGTCAGTTTCATCTCATAACTGTCTACATCAGACATATTGTACTATAATATACAAGGATCATGGACTGTACTATACTATTCATGTTTTGAAAACTGTCAGAAATCGTCCTCTTGTCCAGTTAGAAATCTGACACCAATTCAAAAGGAAAAAAATCATTAATATTATCCATAAATTGTGTACTTGCTTGTGACAATTTGCATTACATTCTTCAATACTAAAACAAAACACATCCCAAACTGAATACACAATCAACATTATCCGACACCTAACGTACAAAAACTGTAAGTGAATTGATAAGCTATCTTACCTTTAGAAACTTCTTTTAGTACACAATTACATAGTTTTAGCAATCTGATTTCATTATTCAGTCAGAATTGTATAAACTTAGTTACCCTTTGTCACAGGAATCATTTTGATGTTAATTAATGTTCTAAATACCCAAGTCTGCTGTAATATATATATATAACACAAACAAGTGTCCCGGTAACAGTACAGTTTCCTTCAAAAGAAGAAGCATTAATTAAGTTTTCAACAAAAATAAATGAGTACTTTACTTGTGTGATTGGCAGTCCACTGAGTGAGTCTAGTTTTACGCCACTTTCAGCAATATTCCAGCAATTTCACGGCAGAGGACACCGGAAATGGCTTCATATTTGGTACACATGTGGGGAATTGAACCCTGATTTTCAGATTGATTAGCAAACACTTGACCACTAGGCTACTCCACCACCCTGGTAGACCATTCCAACAATGCAGAATGTCTGGTGTACAAGTGCTGGCAGAATATTTTCAAAAGTGTGCACAATTCTTCACCTTGCAGAAAATAAACAATGATCTCACTGTGGAACCTTTGTGCAGTTAGACTACAACCAAAAACGTCAGTAGAAAATGATATGAAATGACAGACAATTTATTGCATGGATTTATATAGGACTCTTCAAATGCCCTTGAAAGGCAAGTTGGAAAGAAAATTTAAATTTTTTCAAAACTGATTTTTTTAGTGTCTATTTTCCTCCATTTTTAGGCATATTAACATTGACCTTTAATGCATAGCAATGTTAGACTTAGCATTAAAGCGTCGTTGCATATATTCATCCTGTTAGTGACATACAAGCCATTTCTACAAAGCCATAACTTTGATAGTCAAATATTCAGCATGAAGTGGGTCATATCAAATTCCAGTTTCATAATTTTTACAGATGGGATGGAATATTGGCCTCTGAACAGCTGTAGATAAATTCCTGCTTTTCTAAATGTACAGTTTTGCTATCTGATACAATACATGAAGATGGACAGGTATCAAAAGTACAAAAAATGTGATCCATACATGGCTATGAAATCTTATGAATCATTGAAAATGCTGAATGTAATTTTTCAGAGATGAAGAGAAGTAGAAAAATTTCTGACATAAACTAGTCATAGGATAATACATGTATCATATAATCATAATGGGCTTGTTACTTAACAAACATTACAAAGAAGCTAGACTGACTGACTGAGTTTGGTTTTATACCGCTTTTAGCAATATTCCAGCAACATCACAGCGGGGAACCAGAAATGGGCTTCACACATTGTACCCATGTGGGGATTCGAACCCAGGTCTTCGGCATGACGAACCAACGCTTTAACCACTAGGCTACCCCACCTCCCCATAGAAGCTAGTAGGAATGTGATAAGAGTGAATGAGTAAGAAGAATTGTGCTTTGAACATTATTCCAGTTATATCACAACGTCAATAAAGGCCTGGGGTTTAGTCTAAATAAACCTTTCAACACACTGTCATTCCAACATGTCAAACAAAAGAAAGGTTCCTTGATAAATAAATTGTATTGAAAACAGCTTACATCATTGACAGTGTTAACAAAATTCAAGACAAAATAAATTCAAGCACTGATCCTAAACTGACGACACGTAACATAAACCACGCATGAACAAATGTATTCAAAAATTTAATTCATAAATAATGGCCATGCACTTTTGAAAAAAAGGCAAAGCTTTGCAAACATGCCAGTTTTGTCCCACTCAACATTCTCAAATAACAACATAATATCAAACAGCAACAGTAGGTGAAGTGTCTTGAGTAAGTCGGACAGGTTTGGTTACTTTCATTCAGTTCGGCCACTACAACCTATTGTTTTTCATCAATATGTAAAAACTGGTTGAGTATAGATGGAGCAAGAAATGTACAGTCATCCCTCACAATAACGTTCTTTATACAACTTTACTTGGCCTTTATTCCAGGTTTATTCCATGGACCCCAAGACACGCGCTATGGTGAGGGATGACTGTATTTTGCAAACACCCTGTCACAAAAGGTAAAGCTGCTCTCTTTGAATATTTAAGAGTTCAGTGCTGGATGAACCTGAAGATAATGCCCTCATTTGCCCAGGACAGTTCCACAAAGAAATGAGAGTGCTAAGACTCACAGCTCCTTATGTTAACTGTCTCAAGACAGTCATAACATGCAAATCACTTTGTGAAACGCCTGGTCATAACAACTGTGTTGATTGCAAGCCTCCTATTCTTCACCAGTCAAAATCTGCTTATAATCCGACCCAAACAGGGATACATTCAAACACTCGAGGCCAAATACTTTCAAAAGTGGACATGATTGAACAATAGAACAATTTTTCATTTGCACACTAAATAACATCCTGAAGGTTCGCAGATGTCAAACAAAACAATCACTGGATAACCGTGCTGTATTATTTAGTGAAAATATGTTTATATGAGTTCAATGACTAATACAAAGATTCTTCCAAATCTTGCAGGCTTTACTTGCACTCCTTCAAATTTCAGAAGTGTCAAAGTGAAGATCTTCATTCAAGCTTTAATGATAAACCTCAAAATTCAACGAGTTTCTGTCAGAACAAACCTTGATAGTCATGATAGTACTTCCAGACATTTTTGTCTCGTTATGAGGGGCTCGATTTAAGCATTTAGAACTAGAATTGGTGCAACCTGGAACTGCAAAATGCAGCCTGGTATTTGTACCAACTTACACCCAGTGCAGGACACAGACTTCAGCTGGAAAAAAGAATGATAAGGAAGTGGCTTGGAGCAGTGACTCTGATGACAGCACAGTGATTGAATGACTGTTACTGTTCATGCAATGAAATTTTATGAAGATATCTTATCAGACCAAGACTAATTTATTATATGATGCCTTAAATCATCAACACAAAAACTCAAGCATTGTATATAATATTTTGTATTGAGCAGCAGGTGCAAGCTGTTTTTGTTTAGTGCAACACGACTGTTACCTAAGGTTGCACCAGGTGTAATTTGGTTTCATTTCCTTAAATCGAGCTCTGTTACATCCACCAGTAGGCATGAGCGACACACAATTATAAGTTAGATCACCAACTCATCACTTGCAGTTATTGAAGTTGCTTCCTGAACACATGATGAACTGAAGGATCCCTCAATAAAGAGCACAAGTTGCATTGTTGCAATTATTACCCAGTCCTTCAAAGGAAAAATAGTTCTCTCCGAAGCTGAATGCTGAACAGCCACATGAACAATGAAGACGGTGCTGCCTTCTGTGTTAATATGTACAAGGGAGGTAAGTCCAGTTGCTAGTCTGTCACTTCAGGCACTACTGCAGGTGCCTGCTGAATGTGAAGAACTTCTCCTGAGTCTGTCGTTACCGTAGCAACCTGGATGCCATCCCCGAGTGCTGCCACATCACCTTGCTGTATTTGCTGCAACAGACATTGTCCAATGGGTAGAGATAGCTTAATGAACACATCAACACTTGTGTATTTCTCATGAAGAAGAGAGTTAGCTGTATGTTCCAAGATATCATCTGTATGATAGTAACCTGTAAGTTACAACCAAACAATCCAGTGACTGACATTATCCAAGAAATGCAATCAGTGAGTGAGTGAGTGAGTGAATACGGTTTTACGTAGCTTTTAGCAATATTCTAGCAATATCATGGCAGGGACACCAGAAATTGGCTTCACACATTGTACCCATGTGGGGAATCGAACCAAGGTCTTCAGCGTGAAGAGCAAACGCTTTAACCACTAGGCTGCCCAATAGCCCCTTTGAAGTTCCAAAGTCTGACTACCTGATCAATTAAGTCAATCTCTAGATTTCTGCAGACCACTTCTAAATAAGAATCAAAACAGGGAAGACATGTATCTGTGTAGAATATTTAGATAACACAAAAACAGTGCAACAGCACTGTAGTTCACCCTTGATGTGTGATTTAACAGTTAAACCATCAACCAAGACACCCAACAAAAACTATTTATTTAATTTCTGTATAACAGAAAATCCTATGTGATGATTGTGCGGGGTGAAAGGAGGATTAACATTGGACATGCTTCTCCATAAAAATTATCAACCCCATCCCCCTAGCCATAAATTATGGATGGTCCCTTATCTCCAAGATCAAAAGAAATACTGTGTCAGACTGCAATAACTCAGGCAATAAAATGTGGCTACCATACCCCCATATCAAACCCGTGAAGGTTAGAATATTGGCCTTCAGTAACCCATGCTCGTTGTAAGAGGCAACTAACGGGATCAGGTGCTCAGACTCGCTGACTTGGTTGACACATCACTGGATTGTCTGGTCCAGACTCGATTATTTACAGACCGCCACCATCTAGCTGGAATATTGCTGAGTGCGGCGTAAAACTAAACTCACTCAGTCTGAATTGATCTTCAGAACCAGGAACCCTTACCCCTATGACTTGATCTCCCTGGAGTATTTGTATATGATGAGCTTGCTGTAGCTGGGATATTTGTTCTGGAGTGGCGTGGAGTATCTGTATCTCTCCCTGCTGGATTGCCTCCCCTTGCATAGTAGACACGGCTTGCTGTATGGTGTCTACTTCAGCCTGAATCAAGACGGAACACTCAATTACAATACCTATCTTTCATCAAACACAACATCAGTTTGGTGATTGTTTTCAACTATGAGCAATGAAAATTACTTAGGCATGAAACTTCTATATACGTTAATAATGACATCCAATAGTCTTCAATTGATTACCAGTTGATTTATACACAAGTTAACTTTATGCTGTTGTCAATCTCTGAATTATCTTTAATATTTAAAAGATTTTGTAACAAGTTATGAATCACATTTTATTACATTTCAGCAATGAAATTCTGATATGCTGTACACATGACTTAAAAAGTGAAAACAGTGGTTCAGATTACAATGTTACTTGAAAATTAGGGTCAGTCAAAATAGTAGGCCCAGTTGTGTAACCCTTCACAAAACTATTACAGAAAAAAAAACAGGACAAGAGTTGTGTCATGACTTTCAAGCATTTGAATATTTCAGTGAAATTACATAACCACAACAAAATAGGTTTCTGTCCAGTAATCGGAACCACATCATGCACACATATGAATAGTTTTAATAATTTTTTTGTCTTTGTTAAACAAAAACATTGTTAAACCAAAAGTAAACTGTAACCATGGTAACAATTTCATGCAAGAGGATAAACTAGCCTCCACTTTGACACACAGGATCAAATTACGAGCAAAGCTGCATTGAAAGTTTTCATACAAGTAATGTCCCCAATATAAAGTTTCGAAAGAAAAATTAATTTAGAAGGTCCTGCTGTGAAGGTTTTCTTCAATTTCGTTACAACAAAAACATGCACTGCATGATACCATGCGAATCTCAAATTAAAAATCACATTCCAAAAACTTCAGTTTCAATCTCACAGTGGGGATCACAACAGAAATAGGCACAGGTGACATTTCAGAATTTTTCACTATTCAAAACATGCCACAAACTGAATGTAATGGAATACATGACCCGAATGGTAGAAACTAAAAGTTTTCAAGTTTGCTCTGTACCTGATGGATATGTAACTCAGAGTCTTCGTGACTGATTGAATCCTCATCGCTCTGACAACCTAGCTCTCCCGGTAAATGTGACCCAATATTTACATAAGTTGGAGGAGCCTTTCCTCTAAATGCTTTTACCGTCAATGGCATCCCTCTTTGTTTTCTTCGGAATGCAGTGCGACACTTTGAGTCTATGTTTTGTTTTATTCGGTGCCAATCATTTTCTGTTATACCAAATCTATGAATAAGGTGACCTGGAAGAGAAAATGAAGAATGAATCAGAGCTTTATATATACATAATTTGATATATTCATGCCGGATTGCTGTTTAATGCCGCACTCAGCAATATTCCAGCTTTATGACAGCTGTCTGCAAATAGTGAGTGAGTTTAGTCTTGCACCTCTTTTGGGAATATTCCAGCAATGTCATGGCGGAGGATACCAGAAATGGGCTTCAGACATTGTACCAATGTAGGGAATCAAAACCTGGGTCTTCAGCATGATGAACGCCTTTACCACGAGGCTACTCCTTCGCCCCAGTCTGCAAATAAGCCTGGGCAATACACTGGTTCATATCATGAGCATTTCCCACTTTGGTCCACAATCAGCCATGTCAGTGAGACTGACCACAAAATCTAGCGATCATCTGATTACCTACTTTAACCCTAATCCCAGCACTGAAAATCCAGCACTAAAAATCCAGCCTTTGGTCTCAGAGTGATAAAATGATTGTATTTGGTTTGGTTTCTGTTACACACCATACTCAGCAATGTTCCAGCTTAATTACAGCTGCTGTAAATGAGTTAGTTTAGACAATCCAGTGATTAATATAACGAGCAACAATCTGCTGTTATTACAGGGACACCAACACCATCGCATCTATGTAGCTATGAGCATACATGTGTCTGGATTTGGCGCATTATCAATGTACTTATTATTATTATTATTTAACCAAGAGTCTGACCACAGGATACATACTGTTACTTCTTACAACCATATCAGTAGCAGGTGAACATTTCTCATCAAGAGTTCCCATGGGAAGGACTTTTTTTGTGAGAGAGTGAGTAATGTGTTACATCGCTTTTAGCGACATGAAATGGGCTTCACACATTATGCCGATGTGGGGAATCGACCTCAGGACGTCAGCAAGATGAGCGGACGTATTAACCATTAGGCTACCCCATTGTCCCTGGAAGGACTTATACCTTGTCTTAACAGTTTGAGATTGGACTGATCTTTCAAGGTATGTCAAAACGCTCTACCAGCTGTAAGAGTGTTCAGCTGCCTTCACAACTTACACCTGATTCCATATATCATAAGAGGATCTAGCTGCTTCTTTCCATGTTTGCCCATCCCCGACAGATTAGAGCAGGCCTGGGTCTCCCTGTCGAACAGGTAGTCTAGCATCGTCAGCGCCATCTTCTCAGGCGTGCGGCAGTTTGAGTGCACATGCAAAAGGTCACTGTGAACAAGTATATCTAAACATGAATAAACTGTACACTACAAGACAATCATGAACCAAATGGAAAATATTAGAATGGGTTGATTGATAACCATCAAATCAGTATGATACATCAGTTGACTGACAGTGGCACTGAAAGAATCATGGTTCTATTTACCGGGTAATGTGTGGAGTTTCTCAGATCTTGTTAATGTCAGTCAGCGTGCCTCAAGTGTGAAAATGGAAAGTTATCCTGGCATTAGGATAGAAATGTGAAAGGAAAGTGCTTTTATGGGGTTTAATGCTGCATTTGACAGTATTTCCTCTGCATCACAGCACATCACTGTTGAAGCAAGAAAGTTCCAAGCAATACAGTTTTCAGACGATTTTGTGGGTGTGGTGTGAAAAAAACCCCAAGAATTTCAATCTGGAGAAATCTGAGATTCAAAACCCCAAAACCACCAGGTTCTATCGTATCAAAGGGACACAACTCTATAGTAACACAACAAAATGGATCACATTAGACAACTGAGCCATCCATGACCATATCAGATTGACTGCACACTGACTTAACTGTCCTCATGTTCTGAAACAAACACCAGGCTATGGCAACATAAACTTCTTTCACACTGGTTGGTTTGTTGTTAACGCCACACTCAGCCATATTCCAGCTATATGACGACAGTCTGTAAATAATCTAGTCTGGACCAGACAATCCAGTGATCAACAGCATGAGCATCAATCTACGCAAATGGGATACAATGACAGATGTCTACCAAGTTAGCGAGTATGACCACCCTATCCCATTAGTTGCCTCTTACGACAAGCATTGGTTGCTGCAGACCAATTCTAACCCGGATCTTCACGGGTACTTCTTTCCCAGGAAATACAACTATGCATTTACCTTGGTGTTATTGGTATTCGCACCCTCATTTCAGGATTCGACTCCTCCCCAAGCCACACACCATTAGGGTAATCCTCTGAAACCAGAAATAGATGATGTATACCATCTTTGATACAATATGTGATCCTTCCGCTTCGAACTGACAATAAAGGGCCCTTACCAAACTCACACACAGCAAATTTGTCATACTGAGTGGTCTTAATCAACTTAAATGGTAATCAGACAAAAATAAGTTTTAAATAACATTTGCAGGTAAATTACACAACCTTTCTGCAGTCCTGTTATCTGTAATTTTGGTTGGTCTTAGTACATGCAGTAAAGGATGCTTACAAAGATAGACAGGTTGGTTTAAAAGTTTGAGCAAGGTGGTTTAACGGCATATGTTTAACCCTATTTAGAATTCATTGGTTTACATCCACTTAAAGTAGTCTCCCATTAGCGAAGTCAGAATTTCCAAGACTCCACCATCATGACGACGTCCCTACCTTCAGTGTTCAGTGTAATTAGGGTGACATTAGGACCAAGATTCTGGACACTTCCATCCACACTGCCATCACCATCTGCAACAAAGAATCCATGTGTCTCAAAGCATGATACCACAGTGTCCCAGATATAGAGTAACAGTAAAGGTTTCCTTGCCATAAGTTAGAAGTGCAGAGTGGCCCATATGTTTAAATACCATAGAAGACCAAACAAACCCGCAGTTGAAACACTGACAATGTAAATTGTCATCAGCGTAAAGTCAAAACTTAAATGAAAGAAAAGGTGAGGTGAGGTGAAATTGAGTTTTGCGTCGTGCTTGAGAATATTTCGCTCATATGACGACGTGCATGCGTGTGTATGTGTATGTGCGGCTGCTTGTACTAGCCCAGACTGAAGCTGGTTTTATAGTGCTAGCCCACTGAGATACCATGCCGCAGTGAAGCATGAATACCCCACTCAGACACAGTATACTGACTCCGAGCCGACCAGTCCTTGTTGTACCCATTAATGCCGAGAGCCAGGCAGGTACCAACAAGTACCATATTTTAACGTCTTTTGGTTTGACGCGGTCGGGGATCGAACCCGCAACCTTCTGCTCTCCGGGCGGACGCTCTAACCACTACACCACGGAGGCGGTCCTGAAAGAAAAGACGCTAACAAGCTTCCTATCTTATTCCCCATTTTGACACTACTGCACCTGTCAAACAAGAATGCCTCTATTGTTGACACAAACATAACATCGCTCCCCTTTAACATAAACTTTGGTTAATGCTAGTAGATACACATACATCGTGCTACTCAAAATGGCTCATCAGGTCCTATACATACATATATCATCATGATCTTGCTAATTACAAATGGACCAACTGATCTCATCAATTTTGATAAAAGTAAACATATCATGCTAATCCAAAACAGATAATTACATCTTATCGATTAGGACCATGTCTTACCTGTATCAGAACGGGTCCCATTCTGGGGAAGGCCAACGATGACAGCCCTGGAAGTGGAAACAGAGAGAATTAGTGTTTGTTGTACATGATCCCATGCATACTATTACATGCTGCTTCTGTTAAGGTAAATGCCCATGACCCATTCCACAGAACAGCTCCAACTATATGACAGTGGTCTGTAAATAATCGAGTCCGGACCAGACAATCCAGTGATCAACAGCATGAGCATCACATCTATTCAATTTGGATATAATGACATCTGTCAACCAAGTCAGCAAGTCTGACCACCCAATCTCAGCCTCTTCTGACTTGCCTGGGTTGCTGAAGACGAATTCTAACCAGGACTTTAACATGTTATAAAGTAGTGATGCATGCTTATATGGTGTTTCTCACATTAGCTTCACTGCACATACCAAACAAAATGAACAGGATCTCATGAAAAAGCAGTCAATGTGGGCAATAATCAAGCTGTACTTTGACTTAGAAAACTGTGTGTTCCAGGGAACCCCCAACAGTTAATTTCAAGGATCTTAAACAAATGCATAACAAGACCTATATCTTCATTGGCTGACCCGAACCAGCTTCAGTTAAATATGCCTCAGGTTGAATTTCCCTATTATTGAAGTCATCCTGAAGTTGAGGTCACTTACAATTTGCAATGGAAAGGAAAATGTTTTGTGACAGATTACTGAGAAAAATGTTTTTCTAATTTGATTCCATGGTAGGCATGAGTTTGCAACACACTTTCAAGCTGGGAATGGCATTCACATTGATTTAGTGATTACTACCCTAAGCAACGATATCTAACTTTGCATGGCCTGCTCAGTGACAGTTGAATATACAATGGAATCTCAGATCATGATCGGTACACCTCTGCCAATAATGGACCAAATAAAACTGGGAGTGATCGAGTCTGGCTTAACACTTCTGACTGTTAAAGCAATTATATCACATCATGTTAGTTTGATACCAGACAAAAGCCTGAAAGGAAGCTCATCTGAAACTTTTAGGACCGAAAAACCGAGAAAAATAATCAGGGCAAATCTGAGATGATATCATAGTAACATTAACCCCACTCACCCTCTCCTGGAGCCGGTAGCGTTAGGGGACAGGGAGGCCCCTGGAGCCTGTCTGGCTTGAATCAGTAGCTGCTCCACCTTTTCTTCAACAGTGCGAGATCTCTGACTTAGGGTGTCCAGTTTGTTCTCAATTGTCTCCAATCTCATGCAGATTGCTTTGTTGATGTTAAAAAGGATTTGCTGAAAGCAAATAGATGGTATCAGCATACAGAATATTTTGGGTTGAGGAGGAAGATTTTCTTTTCAGGAGTATTGCTTTACTATTTGCAAATTGGTTAGATGTAAACTTTTTTCTAATGTACCACAAGGACCTTATAGACCCATATCTTCTGTGGCATGGTGTTAAATAAGTTAGTTGGAATTAACTCAGCTTTGAACAGTGTTCCAATTATATTTACAAACGTAAAAATAACTTGAACTTTTAATGTAACATGCTATTATTCATAGATAAAATTGATTGGCAGTTTAGAAACAAGTGACTGCTCCAGCTGCCATACTGAAAACTGGATTCAAACCTCTTGAACAAACTCAGCTGAAGCACTGATGGGAACACATGTCAAGATTCATCTTCATTGGTCCCTTGGTTTCACAGACTCCAACACCAACAGTGAGAGAGTTTAGTTTAACGCTGCTTTCAGCAATATCCCAGCAATATCAAGGCGGGGGACACCAGAAATGGGCTTCAAACATTATCCCCATGAGGGCAATCGAACCTGGGTCTTCAGCATTAAGAGAAAACGCTTAAACCACTAGGCTACCCAACCGCCCCCAACACCAAGAGATAAGTACCAGTAGGCCATGACCTTTGGTTACTAGACTTTCAATCATATTATGAAAATAGTACATTAATCATGTTTATGATCTCTTCCTATTGATAATGCCACACCTTTATTGACTGATCCACACAGAGTTCACTGTCCTCTAACCGCCTCCTTTTCGCCAATGGACCATCTGCAAAGTTTACAAAAACAAACGTTGAAAAACAAAAGTAAGGTTAGAAAATGTGTTAGTTACTGTTTCATATTATTACTTCCATAAAATATCAATCTTAAATATCTCCAGCCGTGATAATCATAACAACAAAAAGTTAACACACCATCATCATCTCCCCCTCCATCCATGTTTGAGGACTCATCTAGGTTTGTTACAACTGACGATGTTTCGACAGCAATAATACGAGGTGCTTCTGGAATCCTTTCTCCAGAGCCATCTGTAGACATTATCTGAAAACATAAATTTGACCACGTAAGTATTTTAGAAGCATTCTTTTCAATACAGTATTGAAGGAAGTAATGACATGAAGGGAATCAACTTACATTCCATAACTGGATATAGGAAATAGTTGGTGTTACTTAGCATGTCTATTGCTGGCAACACATTTTGTCTTATTTTCTCTGTGAACTCATTTGACTCTATGTCCACAAGACCATGAAGATCAAGGTCTGAATTGATCTTTAGCAACCAATGCTTGTGGTAAGAGACGACTAACAGGATTGGGTGGTTAGGTTCACTGACTTTGTTGACACATGTCAATTGTCATCATACTGTAATTGCATAAGTCAGTGCTCATGCTGTTGATCATTGGAATGTATTGTCCTGACTTATCATTTACATGCTGTCGCCATATAGCTGTAATATTGCTGAGTCTTGCATCAAACAACAAACACACATACAAACAAACATGCAAGGCGTCTCATTCAAAACCGTACACTGTCCATAAATTTTCAACCATGTCAACCTGCGCTGTGTACAGGCAACTTTACCTACAGTTCTTTCATGACATATGTTGAATATATTTGGTTCTTGGACAAACTGATTACATAATTCATAGGGCACTTTTTTTTTAAATATTTGATAGTTGGGAGAAAACGTATAGTTATACAATGCATGGGTTACATTAGTCAACAACATTCAGTCATATCACAGGTTCAAAGCGTTAAATGTAATAGATATTTGTTTCAAGTATAAACATTTTTGTAAAGTTTGGAGTATTACCATATCCCAAAGCAATATTCAACGTTCTGGTGATTTCAATGATTGCATTGCTCACACTATATTGGGTGAGTATGAGCACAATCGGAGTGCACAAGCACTTTCATAGGTAGGGCGGATGCCCAGTCACTGTCTTGATAAGTTTTATTGACAATGGAAATCCAGAAATTAAGTTATATAAAAAGCAAACAAACATAAATATTATTTACCTGAGATCGTTAATATGTGAAATAGATGAATATATCCTTTATCACTCAAGGTTAGCAAATTACAAACTTTAAATGATATTAAAGATAAAAATTATGCCTTACATCTTCGAAAACCCCTGACACCAGGATATAACATAAGGAAATGATACCAATGTCTTACACCAGTCACTTTACTTAACGCTTGCAACAATATTAAGAAATAGTCTAAAAATGTTGTATATCCAACTGGTTGCTTGTCTTAGTGACATGTGACATACGACAGAGAACGTCTTCATGAGAAGTTGTAGTGCTGTATTCTAAAGGTACTTCATACAACATCTATTTATGAAAGTTGCTGTATATTTAGTTTACTTCGTAACTTTTACATGTTGTTCTGAAGCCTAAAATATCTAATTCTTTTTCATGATTCAGTCTTTTTAACCCTCCTTTGAGCTCTGAAACATTTTAGCAATCTGCGTCTCTTTCTGGATGTTCATCCATCAAATACAACCAATAATTGGAACAGCCTTAAAATATGCTTAAGAGCTGTGACAAACACTGGTCCTCATCCGCATGTAAAAGAATTAGAGTTGAGGTATGAGCCTAGAATGGATTTTGCGGGGGTTCTTCGGTATGTTTAGATAATTCCACATCATGGCGTGACCCAAATACACTGAATCGATAAATTGTTCACTAGTGAAGTGCAGTTCACATAGATAAAGTGTTCGAAACAAATGAAAACAATCGAAAATCAACAGTTACTAACATAAACAAACACCAAAATTTGTAGCAGACGAATTTTTCGTTTCGCTTCACCAAGGATGGTAAACCTTGCCACTAAAATAGGGCAGGTTTTCGCAAAGACATACACGGAACCTAAAAATAGGCTAAATACGATATACGGGGTTACAAACCCTGTTCTAGTTTCATACTGTTGGTGTAAGACATCTTAAAAACTTAATAGAACGTGCACTTCCTACTTTGCCGCTCCAACACTCAAAAATTCTCACCAAATCCCGTCCCTGTCTCGGACCACGATAATGGCGTACGGAACGGTAACTTGCGAGAAAGAACGATACTGCGCATGGGCGGTGGGAGATTGTAGGTTGTCTTCTCCCACGTTAAAGAAAGATATCACCAAACCAAACGTTAATATGCACCTCAGATTTATCCTTCACCTACCAGCGTCACCTGCTGTGGAATTCTTTGTTACGGCTAGAGCAGGTTATTACTGAAAAATGGCGGAAAGCATAAAGTAACACCACGAAGCATAATGGCGGAGGGAGGAAGGGCGCATGTTTCAAAAGCTTTGTGAATCGTTACATTCCGTTTGTGTCTCGGCAATGTTCGTAACCGAAAACGGCATATTATCCGCGATAGTGAAGTGGGTTGGCTAACACTTCGGCAATGTTAAATGAAAACATTTCTTTAAATTACAACTTTTTCAAAGGAACATTTCCTGCTCTTCTTTTTTAATTAACGCAATTAGACTGACTTGGTCTAGTTTGAGCTGGAGTACTTGCCTTAGCGGTTAGTGTATAAAAACGGAAAATATATATGTTTGTTTAAGTGTATGTGTGTGTGTGCGTGCGTGCGCGCGCTTGTACTTGTCACACATACTAAATCCAAGCCTGCTGATCCGTCTTTTATCCCTGCCAAACGCCATATGTACAGGGTAACAAGAAATAAATTCAATCATTCTTTATTTCCTACTGAAAGGCCACGGCCCTGCAGTACAATAATTATTCATGTGTGGGTAGTAGAAAATCTAGTACATTCTTTCTGAGAATAAAAGCTTTGTGAATATATATGGACAAACTGTCTAAATGTATTTTACTGGAATTATTCATCAATGATATAGAAAGTTGTGAGTTTAAGGGTGTTCATAATAATAATAATAATAATATATTGCTTCATAAATCGAGTTCTTAACGATAAGTAGGCTGAGCAAACACATAAAAAAGCTACACATTTGACAGATTCTATATTTTCTTTCTTAATTCCTTGGTATCTCCCAGTTTCAATATATAAATCATGCGCATGCTCAGCGAAATCTCGACAGGGAAGATTTATATTTCTTTATGGTCAAAAGTGAAATAATAATAATGTTTTGTATATAAGGAATCTAGTTATGCTAAAAGACTTGGTTGACACATGTCATCGGTTCCCAATTGCGCAGATCGATGCTCATGCTGTTGATCATATCACTGGATTGTCTGGTCCAGACTCGATTATTTACAGACCGACGCCATTTAGCTGGAATAGTGCTGAGTGCGGCTTAAAACTAAATTCACTCACTCACTGTTTGTCGGAACAGGTACAGATATGTATCCCAGGTACGTTTCTGTATGTAGAAATGTCCTCTAAACAAAGTCAAAATAGACTGACTGACTGAGTTTAGTTTTACGCCGCTTTTAGAAATATTCCAGCAATATCACGGCGGGTCAAAATAGAGAAACGTACCCGGTACCCTAAACGTCGGACGAGTCCATATTCCGCAACGGTATGTAGTTGTTCATCTGACAGCCTGGTTCCCTGGGTCTGTTGCGCCTGCGCTAAGCTCCGACATTCGGAGCGTAGCGCAGGCGCAACAGACCCAGGGAACCAGGCTGTTCATCTGTTTGCGAGTTGTACATTGTGCATCGTGAAATATTCCCTTACTGTGGATGCTATTTCCTTGTGTAAGGCAATCAAATGCATCTAATACAAAAACATGACATGCAGTTCCGATCAAGAAAACGACACAATGCGGAATGGAATCGTCCTCGGCTACGTTAATTTCTGTATTCTGTTTTTTTCTGGGGTACGTGTTTGTATACAGACGCAGTACACATCTGTGGTAGCCGGGACGACAACGAGCCATTCAGCGAAATTATTGGAATGAGCCCACCTACAGAACAATGGACCACTCCAGTCGCCATTTTCACTCTGCCCAGGTAGGGCTTCAACGAGTCCATTTTCTTGGACTCGAGTATTCGAGGGGTGAGACTCGACTCGGACCCGAGTACTCGAAATTCATACCTTTCAAGCAAACAATAGCGTAACTTGCATGACATGTGTTCCGATCACACAAGTGAACACTTACTTCATTCCGACTATATATCGTTATGTGACTAACATTTCCCTTTGGTCAGAATCAGTATTTGGATGTTTACTCGACACTTGTTTTTTTCATCGTACTTCTTGTACTGCCTGCAAAACGCAGTGATATACCGCACAGGCGGCATTTGGTTATTTTTCTCTTTTCTCTATCCAGATCAAGATGCGCCCGTACATTTGATTTTTTTATCTTTCTCCATGTCTATCAATTGTCAAGATAGTTACCTTATCATTTTAAGAAGTGAAATTTCAAACGATGTATAATATTTACTCTCATCTGCAGACTTGTAACAACTAATACCATACAGCCACACCGTGTGAAGAGTAAACTATTTAATATAGGTGTTAATAAAAACATTATCAGATGGGTTAAAGAATTCAGGGTACATAGAACTCAGTATGTCAGTGTAAATGGCTATCAATCTTCTTTTCTCTCAACCTCTACTGCAGAACCAAATGGCTGTGTTCCTTCATCCGTACTCTTCGTTTTGTATACCAATGACTGTTACTTGTCAATATATGACGTGTTTACTGTGAAAATCGCAGATGACGCCACTGTACTGGCCTAATTTCCGATTCTGAACATTATTATCGTCAAAGCATTGACAAAACCGTAATTCAATTTTCTATGTTGGTATGGGGGTCTGTCTCATTGCAACAAAAACAAGCTTTTCAAAATTGTTAATACTGCATGCAAACTTTCTGGGGTGTCTTTCAAGTATATTCCCTTTATCTCTGAGCGCCAGATTGTCACAAAGGCAACTAAAATTAGATTTGATAGTTGACATATTTAATCTCACCATTTTGAACTACTTCCTTCTGGACGCTGCTGTCGATTACCTTCCCTCAAAACAGAGTTCGACAGTCTTTCATACCATCAAGTATTCGTGAATACAACACATATTTTTTAATCACCATCCCGTGATTACAACTAGAATTATTCAGCCTCTTTACCTATGTGGTTAATTGAATTATATCATGTCAGTTTTATTGTGTAAATAGCATTCGTTTTGAGCATGTAATTATTGTGTATATTTTTGTGAACTGTGTACATATTCATATTGAGACAGTTGGATGTATAAGAATTTCCTCCGGGATAATAAAGTTATATCTTATCTTAATATTAGACGTTAACGGCCGCTCATGCTTAGCACATGGCAGGCAGTCTGTCAACGTCAATAATTCGAGTTATCTCCCCTTTTCGAGTCCTCGAGTCCTTGAAAGGCAGTCTGTCAACGTCAATAATTCGAGTTATCTCCCCTTTTCGAGTCCCCTATGCCCAGGTGTATACACGAGCAGGGTCTGATGATAGAACAACAATATAAAAAAAACCGCAGCATGCATACAATTCGTAGATTAACAATACCACTCGAAGAATGTATAGACTAGTGGTGTTCCGATTAATTGAAATAATCGAAGATTGGTCGCAGTGACCAAACGACCAAGCAATCGATCACATTTTCTCATAATCGATATTAAACGATTTTGGAACTACTGTTTTAGTCTTTGCAACACTTGACAATGGAACATATCTTAGAAGTTGTCAGGGCCTGAAAACGTGTTTAATTCTTAGAAAACTGACTTCACTAACTGAAAGGTCATGACTGAATATTTCTCTAAGACTCCAGGAAGTTTATGTCCATGATATATTAGTCATCACTTTAAAGTAGCAAGTTGCATCATGTTATACATATCAGCAATAACAACCTGGATAGGAAAATCTGAAAATGACGCTAACCAATTTTTTCGATGATTGTTCGTAGGTAATGAAGCAATCATCAATTGTGAAATTTCAACCAATTCCCAACACTAGTATAGACTTCGTGGATTAACACTAATGCATATAATTCTCAGATAAACAATAAACTCGTAGAATACACACAATTTACAGAATACCACATATTTCACAGATGAAGAAGTAAGTTAACTATTTAATTCTCGGAATTATATACATTTCGGTGTCGTAACAGAATGGGGAAGTTAGGCTTGCCGACTAGATCGATGTTCATGATGTCAGTCACCGGATAGTCTGGCCAAACTCTATACATGTATTTGTCTAGGGCTGTATCCTCAAAGGGTGTTAAAGTACTGTAATTTTTTTGTCCTGAGAGGGTATGTAAGTCCCAAAACTTTCCAAGTAAAACTCTCCAAGTCTTACCAGGAGTTTTTAAAAACGTAGTATTTTGTAATATAATTTTGGCTAAATTTCACTGCAATCACAAGCTGCTGAAGAGTTAATATAAATTCAGCTAGTGTCCATGAAGGTAGCAAAGGTACTGTAAGTCCCCATGGTCCCTAGTATGGTGATCAGCTTTCAGTTGCTGGTGATCTACAGCCCGTTTTTATTTTGCACTGTTGTCTATATATGATTTATTTTAATGATAGCGTACTAGTTTTAAATTAAGAGCTGTGATGTTCTGGTGTGTTTTTTAATGTCCTACGATGACAGGTCTTTACGTTCTAAATTTATTGATTTTAATATTGATATAAATGAAATTGTTCTCGTCACGATATTGCTGAAATATTGCCGATGTGAAGCTAAATATTAACTCACTCACTCACTATATATATGTCTATTGCCATGATACAGCTGGAACAATGCCGAGTGCTGCGTTAAACAAACCCATATTGCTTCCCATATATACTCATCGACATGCATCATAAATTTTAAAATTGTATACACGCACATACACGTCGTCTGTAATTTGAAAAAAACAACTTCTGTCTTCAGTTCTAATTTTAAGATATACACAACGTTACTGTGTCGTATGTTTCATCCGCTGTTGTGTACACTGTACAGCCCTCGAGTCATCGCTTGCAGATTCTGAGTGAAATATGACCCGGTGCGTTCAAGTAAACGCGCGTTTCGCCATCTATATTATTGTTGCACAATGAAAAATCAACGAAGCGAGAAAACACTCGTCACCGTGGCCCATTTATATAACGGTTGGAACTAAAAAACAGATTTGTTATTCAATATATAATTATATATGACAGATATTACTTTGACTTACCTGAACTTATGTAAAGTGTTGCGCATAACGGTAGTATATCGTTCAGCGTAGATCCGTGTACAAAAGAGTATCCATGCATGGGTCGTATCAGTATATGGTGGGGTAGCCTAGTGGTTAAAGCGTTGGTACGTCACGCTGAAGACCCGAGTTCGATTCCCCACATGGGTATAATGTCTGAAGCCCATTTCTGGTGTGCCCCGCCGTGATATTGCTGGAATAATGCTAAAAGCGGCGTAAAACCATACTCACTCACTCATGTATCACTCACGTATCAGTATGATGATGACTTTAAAAAACCCAGTAAGGCCAGAAATGCTTGGAAAATGCTTTTTTGCTTCAATATCAATATGATCAATTTGACACAAGATAACAAGATAAAAGCATATATATGATACATGTACGCCTCTACATAGTTGGATATTAAAGCTCAGATGAAAAAATGCACTTGAGGGGGACTTCACAGGAGGAATTTTTGACGTTTTAACAACATCCGTAGTATTCTGAGTACAAAATGCAGTTTTGAAATACAGACTATAATTATTCATATGGACTCAACTAATTAAATTACATAATGATCGTAAAAAGTTTTGGTTGTTTTTAACATCTATATGTGAAAAAGATGGAACTCTTGTAGTAGTTATATTCAAAATAATTACGTAAAAAAGTCTTAATTCAAATCGCATAGATAATCTTGTTCACCCATAGAAGTTTCACTTCGTGTATGAGCATTGAACTAGCAAAATGCGACTTGATATCTCAGCAGAACAATTAATTTCAAATTTATACCAGTACATGTATTTCATACTGGAGAAACAAAGGGGTAAACTTCTCGTCAGGTATGACAGGGTTTACTATAGAATGTGTAAAGCCCTTAATTTGACATATAGTCAGGTTTACAAAGTTGTAAACAAATCAGTTACCTCAGGGGTCGTGTCAAAATCAAAACCAGGTGGGAAACACAATCTAGATAGCTTTGATAAGGGTGTCATACGCCGTGCAGTTTAAAAACTGTATGAACGCAAAATCCCACAGACGTGTGCTTAAATACAAGACGAGATCAAAGATACGATAAATGTCTCGAAAACAACACTTATTGTAGCTCTGGTAGAAATGGGGTTCAGGTTTAGAGAAAAGTACTCAATCCTGTCCATGCGATCAGCTTCTCTCAGAACAGTTGAAGAATACCGCAATTTGGGGTTTCAAATTATATACCTTGATGAAACCTGGTGTAACAAAAATCACTCAACCGATCGGATGTGGCCTCCTTCAGATTGTTCTAAGGCACCAGTGTTACTATCAGGCAGAAGTAGACATCTTGCATGTTGGTACCCGTAGCAAGGGACTGATTGGGGGTTGTGACATTGTTTTTGAGGCCAAGAAATCTGATGGTGATTACCATAGCGAAATGAATGGGTATGTATTTTAGGATTGGTTCGAACATCACCTTTTACCGCAGCTGGACGAACCAAGCCTTATCATTGTACCATCACACCCACCATGATAAATCTCAAGCCAAAGTTGGAGGATTTTCTCACTTCCTGTAACGTGCCTCACAGGCAATCAGAAACAAAGCCCCAGCTTATGGAAAAAGTCCGGCAGCACAATAAGCCAATCCAGTACATCACTGACGAACTAGCTGCAAAACAAGGCCACATATAGTTCTGCGTACACCAGTACGGCACTGTGAGCTCAGTCCCATCGAGCTGATCTGGGGTAACTGTAAGAATTTTATTGCTCGCAATAATACCACATTCACGCTTTCAGACGTTAAATTGCTTGTATATGCTTCTTTTGCGAGAATTACCCCAGAAGTGTGGCAAAAGGCTGAAGACCGTGTTCACAAAATCGAGGACGAATACCGTTTGTGTGTGGGACGGCGTTAACGTCAGTCGAGTGGCACCTGTTGTAATTCCGCTGGAGTCCTCGACCAGCAGTGATACTGACACTTGATATTTTGAGACGGTCCCTGACATGTACTGCCCGTGCGTTGCATAACGCTGTCACCCCCGTCTGCCTGCCATGTGGGTCACAGTATAGTTTGTTTCTTTGAAGTGTTTCTGCCATGGATTTATTCCTAAGTTTTTCGATATTTTACGAGTAATCATTATGATTTGGGAATGGTACATCGTGATTACTCATATGCCATATTAGGTCGAGGTGGTATGAATGATTATATATGAGTTTTGAATCTGAAATATCAACCATTATCAAACAATTGCCAAAAAGCATTTTCCAAGCATTTCTGGCCTTACTTTTTTTAGTGTTAAAGATACTTTCAGTAAAGACAGACCGATTCAGTTTATTATATAGATGTTAGGAGAGAACAAAATAAGAAATTTACATGGTGGAAAAAACCCATCCAAAGCAACAAGCAAGGCTTGATTTCTTTCTAATTTCTCAAGATCTAATTAATCTTACATATGACACCGATATTGTTCCTTGTAATGAATCTCACCATTCTCATATTCCCCTAACTTTATCTAAACACTGTGTAAGGAAGGAGGCAGGAGCTACTGCAAATTCAACCATTCTTTACAATGTGATGAAAACTAAGTGCTAAGGGCCTTTAGAAGTTGGAGTGAGTGAGAATTGCTTTACGCCCCTTTAGCAATATTCCAGCAACATCACGGCGGGGTACACCAGAAATAGGCTTTACATATTGTACCCATGTAGGGAATCGAACCCGGGTCTTCGATGTGACGAGTGGACGGTTTAATCACTAGGCTACCCCACCGCCCGTTCGAAGTTGGACGAATACATGACACGTTTTTATGGATAACAACTTATTTACGACTTATTTACGATGTTACGCTAATTCTTGCTCCTTCATCGCATTCATTTGACGAAGGAGCATGAAGTAGCTCTGAAACGTCGTATAAAGAATAAAAAGAAATTGTTATCCATAAAGTACGTGCCATGCATTAATGAAAACTACATCATAATTGTTAAAAGCACATTAATTGAAACACTCCATGAGTATCAAACCGTACACACTAAAGATTAAATTTATCAATATACTGAAGATGCAGCATTGAAACTAAATATATCCGACTATTTTTTTTAAAACATATTTGATGGATCGTATTACGGAAGTACGGAAGCGTCCTTATGTATGAATTTGAAAGGTGAAACTTACTTTTTCATATATTTATAAAAGGGTAAAGATAAATGGTATAAGAATTAGAACAAATCAAATCTTGAAGAAACAATCAGAAATGACTTCCAAAACATGAATGAGATTAATTTATCAGAAGTATTAATTAAGGAACATCAATTAGAACAACTTCATGAAGAAGTAAGGGGAATTCACATTAGGCAAGATGAGGAAGGTAGAAAACCAAATAGATATTTGTGCCATTTAAAAATTGACGGCATGATATTACTGATATACCGATTTCCCAATACGCCTTTTATGTATTGCAACGTTTTTTTCCCTCAGAACCGGTATATTGGGTAATAAATATGTATAAAGTTTTGTGATTATTGGTTTTACCAATGGAAGCAAAACTGTTTAAAGCGCACATAAACGGTAAACAAGTCTGCCTTCATCAAACATTTCTTTGAGTGGCGTTTTAGAAGTTGGGAAGTACAATATAAAACAAGCTTTATGGATAACAGCTTCTTTTTATTCGTGAGTGCGACGTTTCGATACAGATTCTACCGTTGTCAAGCAGGAATTTATATTCTTCATCAAGCAACCAATTTTGTCATTGTGAATATATTGCTGGCTAACTCTACATTTACTGATTTAGTCTTGTGCATATGATTTGTAGTGGAATAAAATGTCTGTTTTTTACATTAATGTTAGAGGGTCATTAAAATACATATCGTAAGTACTACCATCGTCTGTAAAGGCTAACGTAATTACATGTGCTTGCAAGGGTACTATTCACGGCGACTAAGCTGAAAGGCTAAAAGTACAGTCACGCGTGCTTGGAATGCACCTGTCTGAGCAACGGCCTCGTTGAATGCATTTAGTGTTGAATACATACAACCTGTTACCAATCATTTGTTAAAGCTGATTTCATTGGATAAGTGGGAGAATCCTCTTTGAAAACCTTCTTGTGATTGGCTAGTTTCTCCCCACTATACCGAGAACCGTGTCCTGTGTCGTCTGTTTACATCTGGCAGGGATAAGTTTGCCGGCGTGGCTGAGTGTCAGTTACTGCGAGCGACTTATGAGAGAGGTGTTTTGCAATGGCAAGTTTCGGAATGTGTCGCAAAAGAATATGTCCCATCTTGTTGATATTCTTCTTACACACAGTTGTTGGAGATTCGGGGTTACCAAAGTCAGAAGCCCCACTAACCGTATCACCCCGGAACTGTCGAGTTTGGGGGCCGGGACTGAAATCAGAGTTTTTTCTGCCGGTGAGATATTTCTACATTGAAGCTGTCGACCAGTTCGGAGAAAGGTACGTACTAAAACGGAAGATTAGTGTATATTGGTAGTATTCGTAGCGGTCTGCTATAATCCTGCTCACTTGAATAACGTCATTACCAATATCAGCTGGTGAAGCAGCTTAAATTGTGTGTTTTTCTGAGTTAAGACTATATATATATGCGGTTGTGTCGTGGCAAATGGCACTCTTTCCAAATCTTGTTCCAAACAGTTGAATATTATTACTGACTCTTTTTTTCCAGCTAGCTCAAATATATGATACTTATCATTAGTTTTCTGAAAGTTAAAAACTATGTTGATAAATTTCTCACATAATACTCTGGAAGATTAGAAAATGGCACCAGACTATGTATCATGTTCAGTGTTTGAGTTTGGATCTCTATGCCTGATGGTTTAATAAAACCAATATGCCCTGAAGCTTTTGCAGTCTTTAGGGAAGGTCAGTGTGAACCACAAACAACCACAAAGGCATGTCATTAGTTAGAGCTGAACAAATAGGCCACCACTTCTTAACCCAATGGTAAACAAAAGCAGGGTCATATAAGGGGTTGGCATAGGTCACCACAGGATGACCAGGTAAAAGGGCAAAAGTCAAGATTGTAGAAACTAAATACTGCTGTATGAAGGACTGTGTTCAATGAATAGATATTCTACTCAAAAAAAGTTATAGAAAACGCCCCTACTTATGACAGTAGTTAATCAGTCACTGGGTGTTCTATATTCTGCTATGAGTAGTATATTTTTATTATGTTTTGACGAAGCATGTAAAATATGCAGCGTTACAGGGACAAAAAGCATTAATTGGAATTATGAAACAGTTAAGTGTGCTTGGTAATATGAACTACTCTTCATTCTTTAACATATTTTATGCCAATGTCAGTCCAATTTTATCATATGGGGCCGAAATTTGGGGAATAACAAAATTTGATGAAATTTTAAAAATCCATTTATACGCATGCAAAAAATTCCTCAGCGTTAAAATTAAGACTATCAATGCAGTGATTTATGATGAATGTGGTAGGTATCCAATGCCCATTCTTACAAGCATTAAAGTTATTAAGTACTGGCTAAAACTGTTGATTATGCCTTCAAATCGATTACCTAAGAAGTGTTATAATATGATGTTGTTATATGATAAAAGTGGACAAAAAACTGGGCAACTAATGTAAAAAACTTTCTATATTATATTGGTTTTGGAATAACATGGAGTACACAATATGTCGAATCACCTACATTATTCATACAATCCTTAACGACAAGACTAAAAGATATGTACATGTATATTCAAACATGGTGTGAAAGGATATCCTTATCAAAGAAATGCCTGTATTATTCATTGTTTAAAAATGCCATGGCCCTTGAGTCATATCTATCCTGTGTTAATGTTAAAAAGTTTAGAATAGCACTGTCACAATTCAGATGTCCTTGTCATGATTTGTTGATTGAAAGAGGCAGGTATATGAATGTAAAAAGAGAAAATACATTATGTACACTTTGTAATTTAAACAAAATAGAAGATGAATTACATTTCCTCCTAATATGTCCATTTTGTGACTGGTTGCGAACCAAATATATTAGAAGATATTACTATGTCCATCCAAATGTGATAAAATTTTCCTCACTGTTAAGAAGTAACAATCCAGTTCTTCTACAAAAGATTTCAATGTTCATTTACCATGCTATGATTGCCCGATCTAAATTCCTCTCAAATGTAACATAACTTTGAGTACTATAGGCCTGTGGCCTTTTCAGTGCAAATAAAGATTATTATTAGTATTTTGAGTGTGTTTGGGCCTCTGTTCCTTCAATCCTTCATCAGAACAATTTTTCAGAAACAGTTGAAGCAATTTGTGCATAAGGTAATATATAATCACTGGATGCGGTTACTGTTAAAAAATGTCTATCTCCAAAATCCACCATGATATATCTTTTTCATGGCTTGTATTGTATTTTGTAGCATATTACCCTTTGTCATTTTAGGTAAAATAAACTGGGTTTTTAAACAAGACTGGGGTGTGTTAAATGTTGTAACACTTAAGTCAAACATTGTGTCTACTCAGACACTGCAGAATATCACTCTCACCTTACACAAAGTAGATGTTGTACACAAAGCACAGCATGATACAGTCAGTTATACACCAGCATTCTTAAGGAATTTTTTTAAAATGGAATAACTGGAAACCTTGATGTCTGATGGAAAACTATGTCTTGAGACATACCTTTTACCACTCCTTCTCAAAAGAATTAATTCTGAAAATTTGTTTTTCCAAAGTATAGTTGTTTCAGAGACATTCCTTTTTATCATGGCTACATTTTTGAGGGAAATGCTTTGAAAAAAAAGACACAACAGAAGTTTATTTTCTCTGAAAACTTGTAGGGCCATGTTGCATTATTGCTCAGAGTTACTTCTCCAATATTTGTTGGTAATCAATCAATATTTAGTTGACGATTATTGATCTCTGTTTTCTATCTCAATAGAATGCCCTAGTTTACATTGTTTAATCCCAATGTCTCATGGTTGTCATATTACTCGACCCATGTAGATCCAGGTTAGAATTGATGTTCAGCAAACCATGCTTGTCGTAAGAGGCGACTAACAGGATCGGGTGGTTAGCCTCGCTGATTTGGTTGACACATCGCATCCCAATTGCGTAGATCAATGCTCATGCTGTTAATCACTGGATTGTCTGATCCAGACTCGATTATTTACAGACTGCTGCCATATAGCTGGAATATTGCCGAGTGCGGCGTAAAACTAAACTCACTCACTATGAGTTAGTGACATTTGGCCCTAAAAGTGCTGATGCTGTTAATCACTAGATTGTCTGATCCAGACTCGATTATTTACAGACTGCTGCCATATAGGTGGAATATTGCTGAGTGCGAAGTAAGATTAAACTCACTCACTATCGTATTATTCAGGAATGTTTTGTTGTAAGATGGATTTAGTGTTTGGGTTTCAGATAACCACTTGTTGAGTGTGAACACTTCTCTACTAGCAAAATTATGTTTTCAGGACCTTTCAAAAAAGTTTACTCTTCTTTTTTAATGTTGCATATAGACATTTTCCAACTAAATGATCAATCTATGCAACTGGGAGTCAACTATGTAGATCAGTCCAATGTGACACATTATAATGATCAATCTGTGCAATTGATAACTATGTGACAGTGTGTGACCCGAAATAAATTTATTGAGACATACTCCTGCCCAGAATACATCTTGTGATCAGGCTCAGTAACTTGCTTTACAGATTCTCAATCACTGGTTTGTCTGGTTCAAACTTGACCCATGAATATCCGGGTTAGAACTGGTCTTCAGTAACCCATGCTCGTCGTAAGAGGTGACCAACAGGATCGGGTGGTCAGGCTCACTGACTTGGTTAACACAGGTCATGATGTCCCAATTGCGTAGATCAATGCTCATGCTGTTGAACACTGGATTGTCTGGTCCAGACTCAGTTATTTACAGACTGCCGCCATATAGCTGGAGTATTGCTGAGTGTGGCATTAAATCTTTTTCAAACACACTAAAAAAAATGGCAGGCTGGAAATAATAGTCGTCACTAGCTAAACCAGTCATTGATAATAAGAGCTTTTTATTAGTTCATATTTTTCATACAATGCCCTAGGGCAAAATATTACTTTGTCATTGTGATGTGACGTCATGAACAATGCTATGACGTCACATTTCTTCTGTGACGTTGCGTTCTACATGCGGCGACAGCGGGTAGCCAGCCTATGTTTGAAAGTAGATTTGGGTTTATTTTCCTCAATTTGGCGACTTCGTTAATAAATAGAATATTATATTCGTGCCCATATCATACTATGTTTAAGACACTCATGCCTAAGTATCGGTATATCCCTCGCTCTCGCCCGGGAAATATCAATATTTAGGCACTCGTGTTGTAAACATAGTATAACATGGGCATTCTTATAATATCCTCTATATCTGATATGGTCCCACATCAATCCATCAAGTATTGAGCGATAAAAAAGTTATTCAACATCGCTATACATGACTAGCTTTTATCAGTAACCATTGTGACACGACACACACAAACACCATTGGCTATAGTATAAAACAGTTAAAGATTGTACAACAAATGGTTATAAACTGTGATAACAGCAGTAGTAACAGTAACTTATAAGAATATTTATTATGTATTATCTCCCGAATTTGACTGTTTAGAGTTTACCTATGTATTTGTGCTGGTGTCAATAAAAACTAATAGATTATGTTTGGGGCACCTGTTGCTGCGGGAAGCATTGTGATGAGAACATGATAGGTGACAGCTGTGATATATGGTTGATACAAAGCAATGAAACATGCTGATACATTTCATTAATGATTCATGATGGTCATGCTCATCAGAAAAACAGTTCATAGTGAAAAGTTAAACTGATTGGGGTATTTTTCTTAATTGTGCAAATCACTTGCCACTTGTTATGTCTTCCCCTGGCACCTCAAACATGCTATTCAAATACTGTCGAGGATGAGTACCATGTCCTTCTTGTTTATCAGCTGTACTAATATCAATTGCAAGAGGGACTATGCAACTACATGTTGTTTAAATACTAGGGATGTCACGATATATCCAACTATCGATGTATTGCACATTGGTGAGTCTCCGATAGCAATTAATCAATGGTAGAAACAAAAACTATCGATGCATCGATAGTAAATGTGACTATCGATAGTTTAGTAATTGACTTCCGTTGATAAATGTGCTGCACAAAATACAGGATGTTTGGGTGCAGACTAGTCTGTCTCACAGTCCCTGAACCACATTATTTTCCCTACTGCCAAGCCCTATCTGCAGTGCTAAAGCCCTAAACAAAGCAGGTCTAGATTTCCTCAGGTTCTCTGTCTCCCTGGGGCTCCTTTTCAATTTAATGGGCTTGTTTGTTACTATCAAAATTATATATATTCAGAGACTAAACATTAGTCTAGGTGCAGACTAGCAGCTTTATTTTAACCGTTTACTTGATCCATGTTTCAAGTTTCTTGTCA